AGTCGGACGCTCAACCGACTGAGCCACCCAGGTGCCCCAAAACATTAAAAAAATTGAAACATTACGATTATTATTTTTTTTAAAGCTTATTTGAGAGTGAGGACATAAGTGAGGGAGGAGCAGACAGGGAGGGAGAGAAAGAGAATCCCAAGCAGGCTCCACACTGTTAGCACGGAGACCATCTTGGGGCTCGAACTCACGCACTGTGAGATCATGACCAGAGCTGAAGTCAGACGTGTAACCAACTGAGCCACCCAGGCGCCCCTAAACATCAGTGTTATTTTACATGGAAACAGAGATTCTGGGTTCCTCTTAAGATAATCAGCATCATGAAGAAACATAGATGAATCCAGATGTGGCACATTTCATAAAACAACTGGCCTGGACATGTCTAAAATGTGTCGTGAAAGAGTCTCCCCAAAAGGGCAGGAGACCGTTCTAGACGAAAGGAGATAAAAATGCAGTATTTGATCCGTCAATGGATTCTGGATTTTGAAAAAACCAACAACACAGGGGCGCTTGGCTGGCTCAGTCAGCGGGGCATGTGATTCTTGATCTTGGGGTCGTTTAGTTCGAGCCCCATATTGGGTACAGAGATTACTTAAAAAAAAAACAAACAAACAAAAAAAAAAACTTTAAAACAACAAACAAAAAATCCCACAAAAAAACCAAAACCACAAAACAGGTAATTTGGGGAAACCTGGGTAAGCTAAAGAGTTAAAGTATTTGTCTGGAAATGTAGATAATACTAGTTTTTGCTATGTGAAGATTAAAGATGACCTTGACCTTGTCATATAGATTTGTCAGTGTTTCCAGATTTTGTGGATGGCCTGTGGACTGTCTGCATTGGTCGGTATTACTTTATCAACGCTAAATTTCTAAGGTGAGACACCTGAACTGTGGTCACATAGAATATCCTGGTTTTAGGAGATACAGGTTATGATGCAACTTACTTCTGGCTCATGAAAAGAAAAGAAAACCAAGAAAAGAGAAGGAAAGAAAAAGAAGTGTGTGTGCATACACACACATATGTAGAGAAAGAAAGTAAACGTGTCAAAATGTTAATTGGTGCAATTTGGTGAAGGGGGCAAGAATATTAACTATACTGTTCTTCTGATTTTTCTGCAGGTTTGACAGTTTTCACAGGTAAGAGGTAGGGGGAAAACCCCCAAATGTTAAACAAAGCAGAAGGCGTCCACTTCTGGTCAGAATGGAGAAAGCTGTAAACTACGGTCATTCTTGCGCTAATGACAACAGGCCCCGAACCCACAAAATCCAATCTTACGAAAACCATCTGAGAGCCGAGCATGCGCTCAAATCTAAATCAGTCAACGGCAGACAGCAACCTTCCCTGGGGCTTTTATCCCGGCAGTGCGGCAGGAGGGCAAGAGGCCAAGGGGCGCCGAGGCCCAGAGTGAGGGAAGCCGGCGGTATGTTGGTGACAGCGGACAGACCGGAGAAGCCCCCGCCTCCGAACGCCTCTCCCCTCACCTGCCAGCTTGCTCACACGGCCGTCGCGGAAGGCGGGGTGCAAGGCAGCACAAAAGTGGGGGCGGAAAGGGAGAGCACAGAACTCCCCCGGCACACCAAAAATCTGGCCGCGAGGCTGAAAATCAGAGAGCTCTCCCACAGTTCCAGAAGCTGGAGACGTCACAACGTCAAGACATCCCTGGAATTTTGCCAGGGCTAAAGGGAGAGTCTCGACTCCAGTCTGAAAACACCACAAGCCCGTGGTGGGCTAACTCCAGCAAAATGCCCGAGACGGCAGATCAGACGGACACAGCCCCTCGCGCCAGCGGCCCGATGGAAGAAAGGGCCTCCATCTTCCGTAGAAACTCCTTATTTAGCTCAGTCTCTACTGTTCTTTTGCACAAGATGTCTGGCATCCAACAAAAACTGGTGAGACACGTGAGGAACAGACCACAGAAGCAGACCCAGAGATGACCCAGATGGTACAATTACCAGAGACTTTAAAATAACTGTGACAAATGTGTACAGGATCTAGTGGAAGAGACGACATGCGTGAACATATGGGGCAGGGAGAGGAAAACTATTAATAAAAGTAACTAAATGGCAATGCTCGCCGTGAGAACGCAGCGTCGGGAATAAGGACCGCATCCGCACGGTGCTCAGCAGCGTCGGCTGCCGTGACCACCCTCTGCCTCGAGCCGGTGGCCGAGTCTGGGCCCCGCCAGCGCCGCGATGCTATCCTGGGCTCACAGGTGTGTGCAGCACCTGACGGGGCCTTACCTGGTAGGCGCATTTCCGGTGCAGTTTCTTCTGGCCCTTGTACCACTGCATGAGCTCCTTCATGAAGGTGACCGTCACCTTGCCATCCTCAAGCTTGGGCCCGCTGTACTCATCCTCAATGGCTGGGGTGAATGGGGGAGGTGGGGGACAAGGCTCAGTGGCCACGGCCACCGTGAGGCCGAGAGGAGGCACGGGGCAGACAGGGTGAGAGGACGACGGAGGGTGAAGGTTCCTCTCCCCGGCCAGGTGCTTCCGTTCAGGCTGCCGTGCCTGGCCTCTCTGTGCAGTGCACCCCCTCTTCCAGCACCCCCTCTCCCCGCTGCCTGCGTGGTTTTACAGCACTCGACACCGTCTAGTCCCCTCTCTCCCCACCAGGGCATCGGCTCCACGAGGGCTGAGAGTATTTTATTCACAGCTGTACCCCCGGTGCCTGGAACAGCGCTTGGCACATAGAAGGCGCTCGATAATTATCGGTGGAACGAAGGACTGAATCATCTGAGCGCCTAGAGGACCTACACAAATCCGGCGGGGGCGGGGGGGGGG